TCAAACTGTGGACAGAAAATTGAGGGATATTATTCAAGGTAAACACTCATTGCAAGAATACGTTGCAGAATTTCGCTTGTTGTGTATGGACTCCACCTGGAATGAACCAGCTCACATGGCAGCATTCCAAGAGGGTTTGTCCGACATTATCAAGGATGAACTAATTCATGCAGAGCGTGCTTCAACTTTGGACACATTGATTACTCAATGCTTACGTATTGAAGCTCGCCTACAACATCGTGGGTGTAAACGGACCGTTGCAGAGCCACCTGTGTTTCCTCGTTCACGCACCCCGTCTATGAGGGTTTTCCAATCCAGAATTCCAGCAGAGGAGCCGATGGAGATAGGCGCACTCCGCCCTCGTTTAACAGTGCAGGAACGATCGAGAAGATTTCAGGAAGGTTTGTGCCTTTATTGCGGGGGTTCGGGACATTTTGCAAATTCCTGCACTCGGAAGGGGACTCGTGGACCTGTATCAAAACCCATTGCTGGTCCGTCGGGAAACGGGGTAGGCCCGACCTCAGGGAAACCCTAGGTCGGGCACAGTATTCACTTTCATCTCAAATTGCTGAAGTTAATTCTGGCCCTCCTCGACATTTACTTTTGGACACTCGCATATTCTTGCAATCTCGGAAGGCGGGAATCCCTGCCGTGGCACTGGTGGATTCAGGGGCTACGACTAGCTTTATGGATTATGATTTTGTAAAACATTTCAAAGTTCCTTTAGTGCCTGTGAATCCCCCCATGCAGGTGGAAACCGTAGATGGGCGCGAACTCAAGTCGGGACCTATTCGCTTTGCCACCCAACCACTGCGTATGCGTATTGGGGATCACGAGGAGGCGATAAGTTTTTATATCACTTCGAACCTCCATCTTCCTTTGGTGCTCGGAGTATCCTGGCTGCGTCTACACGATCCGTTGGTGGCTTGGGCGCAGAACGCTGTTTCTTTTCCAAGCCTGCAATGTGTGGACCACCTGAGACATGTCTGCGCAGGCCAACATATTGTCGCTTCTGCTGCCTCGATTCCTTCAGAGCTGTCGGATTTCCCCGATGTTTTCAGTGAACAGGAGGCAGATCAATTACCACCACATCGTGTTTACGACTGTCCCGTGGATTTGATACCGGACGCTCCATTACCAAAGGGGAGGTTGTATTCTTTGTCTGAGCCTGAACTAGTTGCACTTCGAGAATTTTTGAATAAAAATCTAGCTCGGGGATTTATTCGACCTTCGTCATCCCCTCTTTCAGCACCCGTTCTCTTTGTCAAGAAGAAGTCGGGAGAACTTCGTCTTTGTTGTGACTATAGACGCTTAAATGCTATCACTGTGAGAAATAGCTATCCTTTACCGCTCATCTCCGAATTGTTGGAGCGGTTACGGGAAGCTACAATTTTCACGAAACTTGACTTACGTGGAGCTTACAATTTGGTTCGGATGCGTAAGGGAGACGAGTGGAAGACGGCTTTTGGCACTCGTTATGGTCATTTCGAGTACACCGTTATGCCATTTGGTTTGACCAACGCTCCTGCTGTATTTCAACATTTAATGAACGATATCTTTCGAGACATGTTGGATAAGTTTGTTGTCATATATTTGGACGACATTTTGATTTATTCAAAATCTAAAGAGCAACATCTTCAGCAGGTGCGTCAAGTGCTTCAGCGTCTTCGGGAACATAAACTTTATGCTAAATTAGAAAAATGTTTCTTTTTTCAGTCGTCTATCGAATTCTTGGGACACATTATTTCTCCTGTGGGCATTGCTATGGACCCCAAAAAGGTTGAGGCGTTGTGTAGTTGGGAAGCTCCTCGTCGGGTTAAAGATGTGCAACGACTTTTAGGATTTGCCAACTATTATCGGACTTTCATTCCAGGTTTTGCGAAGATAATGGATCCCATAACCCAGCTTCTTTGTAAGAAGGTTCCATTTGTGTGGGGGCCTCCACAACAACAGGCTTTTGACACTTTGAAAAAAGCATTTATAACTGAACCCATATTGAAGCATCCTGATCCGGATCGCCCATTTGTGGTCGAGACAGATGCTTCTAATGTCGCTATCGGAGCAGTGCTGTTACAAGCTTCGGAGGATGGCGCTCTTTTGTTTCCTTGCGCTTATTATTCTAGGAAGCTTACAGCTTCGGAACGCAACTATACCATTTGGGAAAAAGAGTTGTTAGCGATTAAGGTTGCTTTTGAGACTTGGAGACATCATTTGGAGGGAGCTCGACACAAGGTGGAGGTTCGGACAGATCATAGGAACCTGGAACATTTGACCACGGCTAGGAAATTGAATCAAAGGCAGATTCGTTGGTCGTTATTTTTTGCCAGATTTAATTTCTCGGTTACTTACGTTCCAAGTGGTCAGAACCGGAGGGCGGATGCATTATCTCGGAAACCGGAGTATACTTGTGCCGAAGATCCTCTTCCTTTACGGACAGTGTTACCACCGGAATCTCTAGCCGTACTGCAGGAACCGGTAGATTTACGGGCCCAACTACGAGAGGCGCAACGTTTGGATGCGTGGACGCAGCAGAGACGGGAGGACATTGGCCCAACTTCTCCATGGTCTTTTGAAGACGATCTGCTTCGATATCGGGGTTTATTATATGTGCCTACCAGACCGTTGAGGGCTCTCATCATGACACAATGTCATGATAACCCAGCCGCTGGTCATTTTGGATTACACAAGACCTTGCATTTGGTCACTCGGACTTTTTGGTGGCCTCGAGTTCGTCATGATGTGTCTTCTTACGTCGCTTCTTGCGTTCAATGTAGGCAAGCGAAAGCAGCATCCGGTGCACCTCCTGGACTTTTGCAACCCTTGCCGACTCCAAGTAGACCATGGGGAGCGATCTCTATGGACTTTCTGACACATTTACCGTCTTCATCGGGGTTCACAACAGTGCTTGTGGTAGTGGATATGTTGACTAAAATGGCCCATTTCATTCCCTGTCGGAAATTACCATCGTCCCGCACTACGGCTCAGTTATTTTTGCAACATATCTTCCGTCTACATGGACTGCCTGATAGAGTGGTTTCTGATCGTGGGGTCCAGTTTACGGCAGAATTTTGGAAACAGTTAATGGCGGCTTTGCAAGTGAAAGTATGTTTAGCGTCAGCGCACCATCCGGAAACTGATGGCGGGACAGAGAAGGTGATTGGGATTCTTACTCAATATTTGAGATGTTTTGTTAATTTGCGACAAAACGATTGGGTGAAATACCTCCCGTTAGCAGAATTCGCGTTTAACAACTCGCAGCATACCTCCACCCGTGTCACGCCATTTTTTGCAAATATGGGTTATCATCCGCGTTTCTTCCCATTAACTATGATGGATTCCCCGGTTCCTGAGACCCGAGAGTTTTTGGAAGAACTACACGCAGTTCGCCGTCTACTGATACAACAATTGAACAAGGCAAAAGAAGATTATAAGCGGTTTGCAGATCGGTCCCGTCGAGATACACCTCCGTTAGTTGTGGGTGATAAAGTGTGGCTATCTACAAAACATCTGAAGGTCGATCGCCCTATTAGAAAACTTGATCGTCGGTTTATTGGTCCGTTCCCGATTGAGGCAGTTATTAATCCCGTGGCATACCGCCTCACTTTGCCACGATCCATGCGTATTCACCCCGTCTTTCATCAATCTCTTTTGATTCCTGATTCTTCTGTTTGTCGATTACGTGATTCTGCTGAACCGGGTCCGTTATCATTGCTTTCTGAGGAGCCTGCTGTTGACGATACGGTGGTCGACGTCCTTGATTCCCGTTGGCTCAAAGGTCGCTTCCAGTATTTGGTCAGGAGGAGGGTAGATGACTCGGAGGTTTGTTCCTGGACGGATGCGTCTACACTTCATGCTTCGGATCTGCTTCGAGACTTTCATGCACGCTTCCCTTCGAAACCGCATCCGAATCGCCAGACCCGGGGGAAGGGCCCTGCGGTGAGGGATAGTGTTGTGATTCCGGCATCTGCTACAGGTTTTTTGAATGACAGCTCCAGCGAGGAGGACTTATATGAATCAGCAAGTTCTAACGATGAGGAGGAGATGAATGCATTTGATTTGCAAGATCGGCTTGAACCTTCAAACTCCTCCACCCTTCAATTAGGTGGTCAGCCAGGAACGGGTGATAATGAGGAACCAATGATATCTTCAGGTGAAGAAGATGATAATTTGGATGATTGCTGGGTAGATGTCAGGACAAGACGTCTCCTGACAAGGAGGAACCAACGAGGATACAGTAGGAGAGCAGACCAGCAATTAGACTAATTAGTTACTCTATAAAGGGAGAGATATGACTTTGCACTTTGTCCGGAACAAAGTGTCTATTTGCAAGGAGAACTGAAGAGCACAGTTTGGAGGATTTTGATCTGAAATATCTTGTTGGGATTTGGATTTAATTCGTTGGAACTTCTACTTATTGGAATTATTTTGTGAAGGATTTTGATCTGAAGAATCTTGTTGAGTCTTGGATTTAGTTCGTTGGAACTTTTACTTATTGGAGCTATCTGTGAAAATTCCTGTTTGCTGCCTTTCTTTACAAGGACTGTTGCTTTCAGCCTTATCTGTTTACTTTAAAAGGTGGGACATAACATTTTCTTGTTTGCTGCCTTTCTTTACAAGGACTGCTGCTTTCAGCCTTAACTGTTTATTTTAGAAGGTGGGACATAACATATATATATATATTATACTATATATATGTAATATAGTAAATATAATGAAAATAGGGAAACGAAATATAATATAGTAAAGGTAATGCATATATATATATAGTATACTATATATATGTAATATAGTAAATATAAATATAATGAAAATAGGGAAACGAAATATAATATAGTAAAGATAATGCAATAGTCATGACATCTTATCATTGATTAGTATAGAAGGAATTAGAATAGGAATTAGATTTTTTAATTTCCATCTTTCATAAGAGTATCGACAAGAATCATGTGAATTCGCCATTCAGAGTCGAAGGATGATGTCATCATCATATAATATGTCGAAAGGGATCCGGGATCACAGGATGGTACATAGCCATGCGGGCACTCTCTGCTTGTCCTTCTTCAGCATCTCCTTGGTGTAACACGGGGCGGGCCCGTTGCGCCGCACGAGCTCGTCCACCATCTGGATCAGCTCCACCACCTGAGCCTCCCGCTCCTCCCCCTCGGCCTTGTTGTTGAAAGCCAGGCACCGATTCCCGCAGCTCTTGATCTGCTCCATCAGAGGCGCCAAGTTGTCGCCCGCCTCGGACAAGACCTCGCGAAGGGGCCGGCCCTCCAAATCCTCCTTACGGGTGAACAAGACGATCATGTAGGCCTTGGCCTTGAGGGTGAAGATCTCCTGGATGATGTCGGCCACCTTCTTCTCTTCGCCGCTAAAGTGGCCCAGGCGGATGACCTGGATGATGACGTGAGGGCCCGGGGAGCAGAAGGAGACGCATCTCTGAACCTCGTTCACCGTCGTCAGCTGCGAGTATTTGGTGTCGAAAAAGCCCGGCGTGTCGATCACGGCCAGGCTCCTCCCATCCGGCAGGATGGTCGTGGCCTTTTTACACACGACGGTGACGGATCTCGCCTGCATCTTGGCGATAAAGGCTTCCTTCCCTAAAATGGTGTTGCCGGTGGTGCTTTTCCCGTTTCCCGTTTTACCAACCATGACGATCCTCAGGTCTTCGACTGAGAAGAGAGGGAGAGACAAAGGAGAGAAAAGAGGGGAGGGGGGGCGGGGTCAGAGTCCTCCTGTCGTCGCTTGGGAGAGAACGGCGAGAAGGCGACGAGCGGACGGGAGAGAAGCTGGAAGGGCTTCACTCTTTTACTTTGGGCCTGTTTTGTCTATGTAGGGAAGCCCGTCCAAAAAAACAGGAGAAGGGAAGCGAGAAAACCTTAACGAAGAGAAATCGGAATGGCGATCAACCACCGGGATCTGAAATCACCGGGATCTGCTGGAGTAACCCCCGGAGCTCGGAAGGAGCCGGCCGTAGGGATCTCAGCGCCCCCCGAAACCTCTTCTTTTTTGGCCATTTGTTTGATGAGTTGACATTCGGCTTCCCTCGCTTCTTGAAGGCGACTTGGGATGAAACTCAAGGCCAAGCTGCTAGCAGACGTCGGGGGTTCCCCCTCTTCCGGGGTAGGAAAGGTTGGAAAGGCGCTGATGGGGGGGTCCCCCCCATCTCCCCCTCCCCCCCCAAAAAAGGAGGGGGGGAAGAAAAGTGGACCCCGGAAACAAGAATTGATATCGTTTAAGATCTAATTTACGGGGACTTCAGGAAGGCCGAGTAGAGCCCCAGCCTGCTTCTTGCTAAAGCTAGAAAAAAAAATGGGGGATAGACAGCATCGCCCGCCCTCGATGGAGTTGTTCACCGGCTGACAAAGCTTACTCAATGAGTAGTGGTTAAGGATAGTAAGTCTACGGGCGGGGGGGAGGGACTAAGCTTTGGCTCCGTCTTTGGCCGAGTTGGATCTCTTTAGAAGCGAGTCCGACTAAGGCATAAGAAGTCAAATGTGGAGAGGAGACTAAGAGATCATTGGAAGGGAGTTGGGACGGGACCTTGTCGGTCATCTATACCAACCCCGCCGACGCCATTTCTGACCACGGTCGTCTGGGAAAAGTGTCGAGCGAGGATACGAGGATGGAAGGGAAGCGGAGGGAGGAGAAAAATGGCCGCTCTCATGCCTTCCCTCCCCCTCGCCGAAGGCTTACCTGACTCGGTGGCCCCCATGTTTTCCCGGCGCTCGGATGCTCCGATGACGACAATCCTCGGGGTTTCCGAGCCAAAGCGAGCGACAGGTTCGAGACGCGTCCGTCTGGCAGGAAGGAAGTCCCAGGAGCGAAAAGGACAAAAGGACAAAATGGAGGGGGAGGCGGGGTTTTGTGTGTGGCCGGCGTCTTCCGGAACCCTCCGTTTGGCAAAGGGGAACGCCAGGGGGGAAACGGAGAACAAGAGTTGGGACGGGACCTCGGAGGTCATCTAGTCCAACCCCCCCCCCCAAATCGAGTAGGAAACCCTTACCAAATCGTAAAAATAATGGAAGGGGAACCTCAGAGGTCATCTAGTCCAACCTTCCCCCTCCCCGCCCAAGCAGGAAACCCATTTCTGACAAAATGGCCGTCCGGCCTCTTCTTGAAAGTCTCAAGCGCTGAGGTGAAATTGGGGGGGGTCTTGTTCTGTACAGTCATTAATATACTTGTAAACGCCGCGCGGTGATTGGCCTCCGCTTTTCCTTTGGAGCCGAGCCGATCTCGGGAACTAATAAAAGAGCTGAAATCAAGTCACTGGCTCCGAGTCTCTTTTCCGCGATGGACATAACACTGGCGACGAGGGTGGGATCCCAAGCCTGATTCCCATCGAACACGTGTCCGGAGGAAACGAGACCGACGAGATGGCCAGCATCGCACCGCCTGCGCCCTTCAACCCAGCTACTGAGGATTGGGAATCGTACACCGACCGATTCCTGATGTTCCTCGAAAGTAGCGACCTAAAGGACGCAAACGGGCAGAAGAAAAGAGCCGTCTTTCTAACACACTGCGGGCCCACGGTGTTTAAGATGGCAAAAGCCCTTGCGAAACCCGAGGACGTAAAGACGATGGACTGGGCCGATCTCGAGCCGTTGCTCCGGAACCACTATGCCCCCGCCGTGCCCACCCTCATCAGGCGGCACGACTTCTACCGGCAAGACCAGAGAGCGGGCGAGAGCATCAGCGATTTCGTGGCTGACCTACGAAATCTCGGGGGCATGTGTGGGTTTACGGACATGGACGAGGCACTCCGAGACCGCGTCGTCCTGGGGCTCAGGGATCCGGTCCTACAAAGCCGACTGATGGCAAAAGGCAACATCGCCCTCGCCGACGTCCTCGCAGACGCCACTGCAGCCGAAGCGACCCGGAAATCGGCGGCCCGAATGCGGAGACCAGACGCCGGAGACCGCACCGAAACCACCGAGGCAGGCACGGCAACCGAGACACGCTCCGAAGCAAGCCGCCGAGAGACCTCCACACACCATGGCAACCTCGACTCCGTTTCCGACACCACGGACGAGGAAGAGGACATCCATCAACTCCAGACGGAACGAGACCGGCGCGATCGGCGGAGTCGTAAGTCGGGACCCCAATGCGCCGGGTGCGGAGGCGACCACCCTCGATCGGAGTGCCGATTTTTCGATGCGATATGCCGGCACTGTGATAAAAGAGGCCACATCGTCAGAGTCTGCCGACTTAAGAAAAACTACAGCCCCCGGCGATGAGACAACAGCAACCGGAGACGAGACGGCACCCCCCCCAGGCCCAGGGACCGCCAAGCCAAAAATCGTTGGAGCCGAGACGGACGGGGCCGCCGAAACGGCGAGAACCGGCAGAGAGAGGAAACCCACCAGACGGTCATCATCGGCCATTTGTCCAGCGCAGACGCCCGGAAGGTATATGTGGAAGTGGGCATCGAGGGCGAGCCATGCAAGATGGAGGTGGACTCCGGGTCCTACCTCTCCATGGTTGCATGGCGGGAAATCAAGCGCCTGGTGCCCAAAATCCAAAGAAGGGGACTGGAAAGCCAGAAACTAATCCTCAGGGACTACCAGGGAAATCGCATCCCGGTAGTCAGAACAGGACAGTTCGAGATAACATTCAAGGGGCGCACAGCAAGGCTCCCACTGACGATTGTGGACCGAGACCGCCCCAGCCTTTTAGCACTGCAATGGTTCGCGCCACTCGGAATCGAAGTGACGGGCATCGATCACATCGGGGAGGCCGATTGGGAGGAGCAACTTGCAAGGGACTTCCAGGAAGTGTTCGACGGCACCCTAGGCAAGTACCGAGGGCCCCCTATTTCCTTCAGCCTAGACCCCAGTGTTTCCCCAATACGCCTAAAACCACGGCGGGTACCTTTCGCACTCCGGCCCAAGATCGATGAGCAAATAGACAAGCTCATCAGACAAGGGGTCCTCGAACCAATTGACCACGTCCGGTGGGAGACCCCCATAGTCACCCCAGTCAAGCCCGATGGGTCAGTGAGAATCTGCGGGGACTATAAGGCCACCCTCAACTGCGCTTTACAACAGAGCGCCTACCCCGTCCCAGTAGTGCAACACCTCCTACACTCACTGGGGGGAGGCAAGGTTTTTGCAAAACTCGACCTGGCGCAAGCCTATCAACAACTGCCGGTCGACGCAGAAACCGCCAAGGCGCAAACCATAGTAACCCACCGGGGGGTCTTCCGCTGTAAGAGACTCCAGTTTGGAGTCAGCGTGGCCCCAGGAATATTCCAGAGCCTCATGGAGAGACTCTTGCAAGGAATCAAGGGGGTGATGCCCTACTTCGACGACGTACTGGTGTCGGCAGCCAACCAAAAGGAACTGGAGGGTCGCCTGAGGGAGGTCCTAACGAAATTCAAAAATGCGGGGCTGAAGGTCAAAAAGGAAAAATGCCAATTACATACCGAGAGGGTCGAATTCCTGGGGTACCTTTTAGATCGGCACGGAATTCACCCAACCGAGAAAAAATCAGAGCAATCAAGGAAGCCCCCAGGCCGAAGAATAAAACAGAACTACAGGCGTTTCTAGGGCTGCTTAATTTTTATAATGTTTTCCTGCCCCAGAAGGTGACCGCGGCGGAGCCTTTGCATAGGCTTTTGGACAAGGCGGCCCCGTGGACTTGGGGGAAATGCGAGGAAGCCACCTTCAACAAAACCAAGGACCTACTAGGAGAAGGCGGAGCTTCGTCGCTGCGATACAGCTGCAATCTCGGGGCTCTGAGATCGCAGCTGATATCCCCGCTCCTGGTCGGTCCTAACGGACCTAAACCGTCCCGTAGAGACGGTGACAGTAAGGGGCGCGTTCTGTAGATCCCAGGGACATCGCAAGTCCCTGGTTGATCCAGAAGAAGCCCCTTTACCATCGGCGGGGAGGCAGCCATTAAGCTGCTGAAGTTGGGACAGCTCCGGAAGGAAGAGACAAAGAGAAAGTGTATCGGCTGGTGAGGATTCTTTTTTTTTTACTTGGGACTTAAGGACACCCTAAAATGAGAAGGAATCTGTAAAATTCTTCACAAAATTTGACTTAGCGGCGATTTTTTCTTTAAGAATGTCAAAATGAGGCTTGACTTTTTTTTTCTCTTCACTGAACTTCTATTGCGATGTAGTTAATCAGACTGGTTTTTTCTTTTATATTTACTTGCTTTCTTTTCCCCTTTTTGACTGTTTATATTATATAAAATAGAGGCTCCCTTTAGTATCTTTTTTTAAAAAAATATACATAAACATATATATATATATATACTTTTTCTTTTTTTTAGGCTTTTTTAGGGGGAAAGAAGGGGGAAAGGTCTTAAGAAATTTTGCAACACTGCCAACTAGACGCTTGAAAATATTTTATTTGAAGTTGAGAGCTGGGAAAAAAAATTCTTTTCAAGGCTACTGGAAGTGATAAGATAGAGGGAAGAGCGCTGGAGGATGTTTATACAGGTGCTCTTTGGGACTTCTATTATCAATTGAATATTTGAAGCTTGGCCTTGAAATTTGTGGAGAAGCCAAATAAGAGCCTTGGATAAATAAAAGGCAGTGTGTGCTTTCATTTTTTTATTTTTTATTAATTGGTTTATCCCTCCCCTCTAACCCCACAATATTTTGTAATATTGGTATACTTATTTTTTATTTTACCTTATTTTTTATTTATTTTTTTAAG